TTAATATATAATTTATTAAGGTTTTTTTTTGTGTGGGTATTGGGGGTTTTTTGTGTGTGTTTATTTTTGTGTTTTTAATGTTGGTAATATATGGGTTTGTTTTTTTGTGAAATTTAAATTTGGTTTGTATTTGTGTGGTTAATGGTGTGTTTTTTTTTAAAGGTGTGTAAAAATTTTTTGATGTTTAAAAAATTTTGTTGTGGAAAAATTGGTGTTTTAAGGGTTTTTTTGTGGTGTTTGTTATTTTGGTTGTAAAAATTTTTTTTTAAAATTTTGGGATTTGTGTGATGGGTTTTGTTTTAAAAAAATTTTGGGTTTTTAAAAAAAATTTGTTTTGGTTTTTTTTTTTTTTATTTTTGTTTATATTTTTTTTATATTGTGTGTGTTTTTTTTGTGGTGTGTATATGTGTGTTTTGTATTTTTTGTTGGGGTTTTATTTTTTGGGGTGTGTGTATATTTTTTAATTTTTTTTTGGGTTTAAAAATTTTTGGGTTTTTTTTTAAAAGGGGGGGGGGAAAAAGGGGAAAAAAAGGGGGGAAAAAATTTTTAAATTTTTTTATTGTTTTTAAAGGGGGTGTTTTTTTATTTTTTTTTTTAAAGGGGGGGGGGGAATTTTTAAATTGGTGGGTGGTATTTTTTAATTGTGGTGGGTTTTTTTAAAATTTTTTAAAATTTTTATTTATTTTTTTACATAAATTGGGGGGAAAAAAAAATTTTTAATTTATCCAAAAATTGTTTGGGGAATTTTAAAAGTTTTGAATAAAATTTTTAATATTTTTTTAGGGGTTTTTGGGGTTTTTTTTAATTTATTTTTTTCCCTCTTTTAGTTTTTTTAATTAGAAAAATTAAAAAAAAATTTTGGGGTGGGTTTTTAAATTTTTTGGGGTCATTGCGCCCCTTTTTTCTTAAAATTTAATGGGTTTTTGTTAATTTAAAAAAAGTTTTTTTTTAAAATAATGGGTGGGGGGAAATAAGGGGGGGGGGGGGGGAGGGGTTTATTTTAATTAATTGGTTTTTTATAAGGGGGGTTTTTTTAAAATATATTTTTAATTTTTTTGTTTAAAAAAAAGTTTTTGGGTTTAATTAAGTGGTTTTTCCCCCTATAATTTATGTTTTAAAATTTTTTTAAAATTGGGGAAACCCCCTTTAAAAATAATTTTTAAAAAAAAAAATATATAATATATAATTTTTAATATATATATTATATATATATATATAAAATTTTAAAAAAATATGATTGAAAAAAATATAGTTGGTGTGAAAAGAAAGTGTTTGTTTTAAATATTAAATTTTGTTTTTTTTTCTCATAAAAGAAAGGTTTTGAAGCTTCACTTCACTACACTTTTTTCAACTACACTACTTTTAAGGATATTAACAACCCCCTTGGGTTTTTTTTTATTTTCTTTTTTTATTCTTTTTTTATTTCCCCCACCCGGGGGGAAGTAAAAAACCCTTTTTTCCATTTTTTAAAAACACTAAAAGCGGGAGCGGGG